AAATCTTAGCTAGACTTTCTCACGATATTCAGACCTCTTTCTTGCACAATCTGACGTGTGTGGGCATAGACTTCAGCGGCGTCGGCAAGCGCTTTTTCGCGAAATATAGAAGCAAGGTGAGAGTATCTGAAAGATTTTGAGTACAAGTCATTCCCGTCTAAAGCTCGTAAATATAGTAGCAAAAAAATTTGAAAAGAGGATTAAAACTGCTTAAAAACATTTTAAAAAACCACTGCAAAATGCGTCGCATTGGCACCTTATCAAACTATGTATGAAAAACAGTCGCTGATGCAACACAAACTCAATTTCACAACAAACCTTTTGCTGTCGCTAGTCATGTCCGGCAATATTCCCGAAAGTGGCAGAACACCATGTGCATCTACGAACCGACGCAACGCAGCACATATTATCCAAAACGGCTGCGCACATTTTGAGGTATCATCACATTTATGATCCATAAGTATTTCTGATACTCGTCGAGGAACCTATAAAAACATTTAGGTTTAAAAAAAAGCAAATTTCATTTACCTCGCTCCTCTGCAATGATCTGGGCAAAGCGGTTCTAGCTTCTATGAAGTTTTCAGCATCCGGCGATCCTGATTCACCCTCTCGACGCATTTTCCACAAAACATCTAGGAACTGCTTCCGCTTCGCATATGTATCAGGAAATGCTTGTTCATCTCCAACCTCCTGATACCAAAAGCATCATATCTCGTTCAAAACTGTTTGCAAAATGATAGCTCACAATTCTGTAGTGTTGCAAAGCTAACAGATAAAGCAATATATAGGGTGTATGTCGCAGTTCCTCCAAAGTCATTGAATTTAAATCCGTGTTCACCGCCATATCTAGGAGCTTCGGGAATGGTTTGTCAATTCTGCAATCAATGGGTTAGTGAGTATTTCTGATAATAAATATAGCATAACTTTAAAACGCAACAGTACCGCAAATCTGGGAGAGCATTCTCTTCGTGATTGTTCGCTATAGTGTGCTCTTGAACAAAAATCCGAATATATCCCAAGAGCCCGTATGCTCTGAATTTTCAAAAGATTAACACTTCAAAAATGACCCTTCTTTTAAGTACCATTAATTTCTATAGGACTAGAGAGAGCCAGGGTACCGTTATGACCTCACAAATTCTGAATGAATCGTACGCATACAAGAGTAAGATAGGCAAGGTAAAACAACAATTATCAGCCCGACATTAATTGAGATCACTAATAATTACTGATTGGAACTACCAGACCTTCCCAAAAAAACTATCTACTGCTTAGAGGAAAGCTGCTTCATGGTCGATATAATAGAGTAAAGATGCATTAATTTGGTTGATAGAATTTTGAAAAATTTATACTGTTCCTCAAAATATCATAAAATTGTTAACTGATAACTTTCAGAAGCTAAAGATTAAGAAGTA